CTATAATAGCAAGAAACCTTGAGCTAGACTAAGTCTTTCTCCACATGTCTAGTTGGCCTTCTTGCCTGTTTCGCCTGGAAAGTCCAGTGACACAAACTGGCTAGCATGTAGTAGGCATGAAGTCAATTTTAATTGAGGACACAGACATCCTGTTGCTTTTTTATTCCATGGTAAATTGGACCACCCGTTTATTTTTGCCTTTTCATTTTCTTTTAAGCTCTGTCCAGAAGTCTTGGTCCATTTTGTTCCATTTCTTCTTGGTGGAATGTATTTCAAACAAGTGTACTGAAAGGAGCTAGCTCAATGAACGCCTGAGATGTGTAGAGTAGGTAAGTAGGGATTAATAGACACAATCCTTGCCACATTTTTTTGGATTTGAAACCTAGCTGCTTGCATCTGTTCCCTAACTTGTCATAGGTTTGTCATCTGAAAAATACACCAGCTGTGAAATTCCAGTTCCATAGTAAGACCACAGAGTTGTTATATATCTCCTAAACTGAGGTAGAACCAAAGTAGCAGTGGGTGCTGTTCCTGACAAGGATGTGGCTGTTATTTTCCCACAGCAGCTTCTACCTGTGGAATCTCTCTGGGCAGTATCCATCCTGAAACATGATGTGCATAGTCTAATGCTATGCTGGAGACAGCCCAGGATCACAGCAAGTTATCCAAGTGTCTGCCACTGAACTACACTCCAGTCTAATAGTTTACTCAGAGCAAGCACATTCACCAGCTCGTTTCTGTGATTGGTACATTAGAAATGAAATTTATGTGTCTTTAGTAGGACTTGCCTGTAGAAGTTCTGCTGTTTCAGTCATTGTAGAGTCAACTCAGTCCAAGAAACTATAACTCTGCCTGTCAGAATTCTTTAATTCCAGACTTTAGTTAGTGAGTTGACAGAAATATTTGAGAATTAATGGCCACCCCAAAGATAGGGACTAAAATTTGTTACATACTGATATTTACATATAAAAATAAACAGGTCTTTATAGACACCAGTGGATTTTGGTTATCAATTTGCCATTCAACCTCTCTAGAAGTCTGGTTACAGCTCTTAATCTGGCCTAGAGACTCAAGTGCTTCTCAGAATATGCTCCTCCTTACCAGAGCTTCTTGGATAACCTCCCCTGCACCTGCCATGTTATTTGCCCTAAGATACTGTACTGGTATCACATGTACTTGTTCAAATAACAGTGTGTCTCAACTTTTGTGTTCCACTCTGAAACACATGTGTTTACACGCTATATCCAAGTGTTGTTGAACAGTTTGTCAATAAAGCAAAATGCATCCTTTGTGAATCTATTGGTGAAGAAACACTTCAAAAATTATTCCATGGCCTTATTCCCTGCAAACCGGTAGTTGAAATTAATTAGCAATGCCATCTTGTGTGAAAGGTTATATGAGTGTAGTTTTAATTAGTTTTATTACTCTTTGCTCTGTTTTTTTTTCTTTTCTCTGTTTTTCTTTTGCTCTGTTCTGTTATAAAAATTGGTAAAACACTAATGATGATACATTGCTATGAAGCATCTGACTTTAGAAGTCAATACAGTTGAGGACAAGATAGAGTAGAATTCTTTGTATACATGAAAGCAGCAAGTCTTTGGCTTCTTTGAGGAGTAGTTAAACGTAATCCAATTATTGAGTGGTTTATGAAATAAAAGAAAGTAAGGAGCAAGTTTGAAATGTTGGAACTGTGCTGGTAAAAGCTGAGTTTAAAAAGTAAATAGATGGTGTCATTATCCAACAAAGAAATGTACTCTCTACCTGACTTGGGTAACTCTAATTCCTCTGTACATCCCTTTTGCAGTAACAATATTTTTAAATAAATAGAACTAGATAGTTTTGTAATATGACTTAATGTTCTGAGCTAGAACTCCTCTAGTAAAGTACAATTTTATTCTTAGTTCTCTGGGTTTGACTTTCACATGCATTTTTAGGAAATATCCATCTGAAAGTGTTCCAAAGCAAACCTGATCACTTAACTTCTGTGGCAGCTTTTCTTCTACCCCATTCAGTGTTTCTGCTGATGAGAGTAGACAGGACTGGCCACACAAACCTGCAGGACTCTTACCTCCCTGGTTGCCTTCCCTAGCTTCCAGTCTGGCCTGCCAAAAACAGGAAAAACATGCGCAAGGGGGGTTGAGGAGGAATTGTATATGTATGTTTTTGTGTGTTTTACCCATCTGTTCGCGGGTATGTGTATGTATGGGTGTGTATATATTTGTCAGGGAGGGGCAAAGGCAGCTTGTTATTAAACATTTCTTGGTGCTTTTGTTTCTTCCTGTGTTGTGTGTGTGTATGTGTATGTGTGTGTTGTTGTTCTTGTTCTTGTTTTTGATAGTATTGGGGTTTGAACTCAGAGTCTTTTCTTTTTAATAAAATACATGCTCAGAACTAGAACCATGGCTGAATTGATAGTGTGCTTGCCCAGTTGCATGAGTTCTGAGTTCAGTCTCTAGCATGGCAAAAAACCAAAAACCAAAAAATAGTCATACCATTTATTTGGCACTGTATCATTGAATCACCTACATCTTTCTGAGTCAGAAACTATAAACCTAAGTTATTATGAAGAATTGTCTATTATAATGTAGCTGTACTATAATTTGTCTAGCTGAGTTATCAACTGATTTACTTTACTCTGTTATATTAAGTATCCTTATATGTATCTTATAATGCTTTCAACTTTTTAGCATATTTCTAGAAGTCAAACCTTTGGGTTAAACATTTGTATACTTGAGCTGGAAAGGTGGCTCAGTGGTAGAGCGCTTGCCTTGCATGCCTGAGGCCCTGGGTTCGATTCCTCAGCACCACATAAGCAAAAAGAAAAAAGCTGGAAGTGGCGTTGTGGCTCAAGGGGTAGGGCACTAGCCTTGAGCTGAAGAGCTGAGGGACAGCACCCAGGCCCAGAGTTCAGGCCCCACAACCGGACCCCCCAGAAAAACAAAAACAAACCTTTGTATACTTTTTATAACTTAATAGATAATGTCATGTTACTTTCTCCAACTGCATCCCCATTTAGACACCTTCCAGCAAGGTAGAAGGGTTCCCTTTTTCATTTAAAGTTGTTACTAGTTGAAGAGGTTTAAAAAAAGAATTGCTACTTTCATTTGCAGTTTTTACTACTAGTGAGAATGAGCAGCTTTTCACTTAATTGTTTACCACTCATTTTCTTTTTTTATAAAATATCCCTAAACCTTTTCTGCTTATTTTTTTAAACTGGGTTATACTTTAAGGACCTGTAAAAGCTGTTTCTTTTTCTTTTTTCTTTTTTTTTTTTTTTGGTCCAGTCGTGGGGCCTGCACTCTGGGCCTGGGCACTGTCCCTCAGCTCTTCAGTTTAAGGCTAGTGTTCTACCACTTGAGCCACAGCGCCACTTCCGGCTTTTTTCTGTTTGCTTATGTGGTGCTGAGGAATCGAACCCAGGGCCTCATGCATGCAAGGCAAGCGCTCTACCACTGAGCCACCTTCCCAGCCCCTGTAAAAGCTGTTTCTGTATTAAATATATTTACATTTATTCGTTGGCATACGTGTAGTAGGTATTTTTCCTAGCCTCTTTGTCTTTTTGACATTTGTTTTATGGTATCTTCACCATTAACTTGCAAAGGATTGATTGATTGATTGATTGGTGATAGGGATGCTAGACAGGCATTTATGCTAAACAAGCACTCTACAACTGAGCCATATCCCAGTGCCCTGCTACTTTTCTTTATATGATATTGTTTTCCTCACTTAACTACTTTTTGTTTGTTTCATTAAACTTGTCATGTAGTAGAGTTTAGAATTATTGTTGCTAATGTAAGTGACAGTCTGCTAAAGTGACACAGGAAAGAACTACTGATCTGTATAAATATATATATATAATACATATATAAAATACATATATACATATATATATATGTATATATATATATGTATGTATGTATGTTTTGTTTCCAGCCAGCTTTCTAAATTCTTTACAGTTTTTAGTCTGCTAGTTCTCTAGGCATATAGTCAGTCATACCATCTCTAGATGATATATCTTTCCATTACTTAATCTATCATTCTCTTTAATAGTATACTTAGCTCATATTGAAGTTATTAAATCTGTCTTATTAATAAAAATTGTAGTTGAGTCTGAGCTACAGTTTGGGCCCTGTTGCTCTATGCTATGGCCTCCATGTGCAATCTCACATTTTTCTCCACAGAAGGAGCTATGGAGATTAAATGACCTCATTACCAGGATTATATAGGCTGACTTTATCCCCAAAATGAGACCATAGTAAAAAAAAAAAATGTGGAGCTGTACGGTTATTTACGCACAGAGTCTTCCAGAACTGGACATACAGTAACTAATATGCATACTGTCAGTGCTGAAGGTGTTCTGGCTTTGTCCTTCCTGTGCTTTTTCCTTGTATCTAACCTTAATGAGAAGTTAGATCTACCCAAAGATCCCTTCTCCCTTGCCCACTCTGGAACTTAAGACTTTTGAGCTTAGAGTTCTGAGAGGGTGTCTTAGATTATCATCATCACCTGTGATACTGGGGTGAGGCCTAACAATTTTTTATTTCCAAGTTCAAATACTGCTGTTTTAGGCAATGCAGTTTAAGAATTGCTGGCTTTGGAGACCTATGGGTCACTTAGTGTGGCCTCATGGATGCAAAGCTGAGGGGGAGAGAGAGAGAGAGAGAGAGAGAGAGAATGTTTCTGGGGATCAACCTAGGTCCTTGTTGATACTAAATAAATGCTCTACCACCAGGCCACACCCCAGTCCCCTTGAATGTTTTTCATGAATTAGCCAGAATCTTGAGGTAGTTTAAACTTCTGCTTACTTTATCAGGTCACTGTCATTCCTCCTGAGGAGCAGTTGCTCCAGACCCCTTCCTTGCACTATGAATTCATGCACTAAAGGTCACAGAGCACTTTTCAGAGGTTCACTCTATTTAACTTTTACAAGTGGGAGGTTCTGAAATGAGAAGCATTTTCTAGGTTTAATAAAAAATTGACCACACTTTGCACTTCTTCAGCCTCTGCACTTAGATACCTTCATGAAAACAGAATCATCCATCGGGATCTAAAGCCAGAAAACATTGTTCTACAGCAAGGAGAACAAAGAGTGAGTGACTTCCTGGGGCTCAGGAGTCTTGGGGTTGCCTCTAGTAGACCACACCTTTGTAGCTTTACATTCTTTGAGACATTCTGTGATTCCCTAGGAAGGCATTTTGATTTGAAACAATTCAGCAAGTCTCACTGGTAGATTGGGGCAAGCTTGAAATGGATCACATTGGATCAAGTCCAGTTGGAGGACTTTTTTTTTTTTGGCGGGGGGGGGGGGGGGGTGTCCGGACGTGGGGCCTGAACTCTGGGCCTGGGCGCTGTCCCTCAGCTCATCAGCTCAAGGCTAGCGCTCTACCACTTGAGCCACAGTGCCACTTCCGGCTTTTTTCTTTTTGCTTATGTGGTGCTGAGGAATTGAACCCAGGGCCTCATGCATGCAAGGCAAGCGCTCTACCACTGAGCCACCTTCCCAGCCCCAGTTGGAGGACTTTGATAAGAAAATAATATTTATTTTGATCTACCTCCACCTTCTGCCTTTTAGTCTAGTACATTTTGAAATAGACTTTGCTTCTCAGTTATTTTAAAAGCCTCAATTTTTTATGTTAAAGTAGAAACTGTAAGCTGGTTGTAGGTGTGGTTGAGATAAGACACTTAGAGCTAGCAATTGCCCACTTCTGCCTGATTCAATTTGCAGTTCTCCAAGAGCTCTCATAACTCCTCATTGTCCCGTTGCTTAGATGTAGTGGTAACCTCTCTATGAATGCCAGGGTCTTTTCCCACTCTTGTTTGTTCAGCTGGGTGTGATGAGCAAGCTCAGGTGAGTGGAATGTAGTAACTCAGCTTCTAGATCACTAATCTCTTCTGATTAAGCTTCTGTCAGCATCCTAGGTCCAACCTGTGACTGGCAGTGCCCACGTTTGTTCTTGATTGTGGTTTTCAGATTATAACTGAAGGTATTTTCTTTTTCTTTTTCTTCTTTTTTTTTTTTTTGTTGGTCATGGGGCTTGAACTCTGGGCCTGAGTGCTGTCTCTGCACTCTTCAGCTCAAGGCGAGTACTCTACCTCTTGAGCCACAGTGCCACTTCCAGTTTTCTAGTGGTTTATTGGAGATAAGAGTCTCACAGACTTTCCTGCCTGGGCTGGCTTTGAACCATGATCCTCAGATCTCAGCCTCCTTAGTAGCCAGGATTACAGGGGTGAGTTATTGGTGCCCGGCCAACTGAAAGTATTTTCTGAGCAGGCTTTGGCCTAGTCTTTCACATTATGAAGTCCAGATTGAGGGCCAGTGTCTGGCCTGTTAATTTTAGCCTACCTGCTGTTTTGTCGCAGGTGAAGGGAGGAGAACACTCTCTCTCTCTCTTTCTCTCTCTCTCTCTCTCTCTCTCTCCCTCCCTCCCTCTCCCTCTCCCTCTCTCTCCCTCCCTTCTTTCCTCCCTCCGTCCCTCCCTCCTTGTTTTAAATCCCCATATTAATGGCATTGTTCTGTGTAGGTGATGCCTCTTAGGCATTCAAATCCAATACCCTTTGTTGAAGGATAACATTGATTATTTTTGTGTTCTTATAACTCTTGGATTTCTCCTCCCCCCACTTTTTTCCAGTTAATACACAAAATTATTGACCTAGGATATGCCAAGGAACTGGATCAAGGCAGTCTTTGTACATCCTTTGTGGGAACCCTACAGTACTTGGTAAGAAAGGAGGGTTGTGCATTTGCTTCTTAGTTTCTGACAGCTGTGTTTGTGGGGCTTTTTTTCTGTCCCTGCCTGCCTACAATCTCGGCCTTTCCGGCTTGGTGGGTATTTCCTAGATGTACTGCTTTTATTCCATGAGCTTGGAATCATAATCCACTCAAGTCAGCATTTTCAGACAACAGATGCCATCTGGAAGTCATAGTATTTTCTCTAATGTCAGAAGGGCTGTGCCTATGTAGCTTTCACAGATCCAAATGCTCTTTGTGCAGCAGGAGTTTTCTGGAAAGGAAGGATTTTTAACTATACTGAAGCTATTGTGTACGGGCTGCAGTTTCTTTTTTTTTTTTTTTGGTTGACTTTGGGTCTTGAGCTCTGGGCCTGGGCGCTGTCCCTTAGCTCTTCAGCTCAAGGCTAGTGCTTGAGCCACAGCTCCACTTCTGGTTTTCTGGTAGTTTAATGGAGATAAGAGTGTCACGGAGTTTCCTGCACAGGCTGGCTTTGAACTGCGATCCTTAGACTCAGCCTCCTGAGTAGCTAGGATTACAGGCATGAGCTACCAACTCCCGGCTTGATAGGCTGCAGTTTCTATAAAGGTCTCAAGGAGCTAGTGAAGAGGAGGCAGAGCTCAGCCCTTCCCTCTTCTGGACATGATATGGTCTGAATATTGGAGTTCTGGTTGAGTCACTCATTCAGGAATATTGATCCAGTGTTGTCTCTGCCATGCAGTGTTGTCTCTGTACTTGGAGTTGGTAGTATATTGGGAAAGATAAGCCTTTCCATGCTCATCAGGAGCTTAGAGCCTTAAGAAAGCAGGCATTACATGCTACACAGATAACTCCAAAGAGACTGCTCTGTTGAGGGCTACAGAGGGGCAGTGCAAGCAAGCAATAGATGTATATGAGGAGGGCCTAGCTGCACCAGGGATCTAGAGGATGAGTGTATGGAAGGGCTGACTAAGGTGAGAGGAGGAGAGGTAGGAGAGAGAGAGAAGAGATTCTGGCAAAGGAATAGTACTTTAGGAGGCTAAAGGGTATGGTTGGTGTCTCCAGAAGAAGGAAGAGAGAAATTGAAAGTGAGGAGGGAAGGAAGGAAAGACCTTTAGACATTTAAAAAGTTGTAGACTGTAGCCAGTTGCTGGTGGCTTACACCTGCTAATTCTAGTTCCTCAGGAAGCTGAAGTCTGAGTATGAAGGTTCAGAGAAGTCCATGAGACTTATCTCCGATTAAACACCAAAAAGCTGGAAGTAGAGGTGTGACTCAGTGGTAAAGTGCCAATCTTGAGTGAAAAAGCTAAGCAAAAGCATGAGGCCCTGAGTTCAAGCCCCAGCACTGGTACATACAAAACGATTGTAGACTGTGCTAAAAGCTTCTTGAGTAAAGGAGTTACATTGATCAAGATTCACTCTACTCATAAACTATCATGTTGAATTGTAACTCTTCTGTACAACTACTTAAAGACCATAAAATTCAATTTTAAAAACACCTAAGTGACACTGAAAGGCTTCACATTGCAGGAGTAGGCTTTGGAAAGACCACTCTTGGGATGACACAGAGACTGAATTGTAAACAGAAGTGATTAGTGGGCAAGTGGAAAGGAGGCTTTTGCAATAGGCCCATTCAGAGCTGGTAGTAGCAAAGGAAATAGAGCATGGTTAGGTTCAGGAAATGCTTGGCAAGATGTTGTTCTTACCTTCTAGTAAGAGCAACCAGTAAAGTTATGGTTGAATAATGGGGCCTGCCATTTCGCAAACAAAACAAAGGAGCCGGGTGTTGGTGTTTCACTCCTGTAATCCTAGCTACTCAAGAGGCTGAGGATCATGGTTCAAAGCCAGCCTGGGCAGGAAAAGTTAAGTGACTCTTAGCTCCAGTTAATCACAAAAAGCTGGAAGTGAAGCTATGGCTCAAGTGATAGAGTGCTAGCCTTTGCAAAAGAGCTAAGGGACTGCACCCAGTACCCAAGTTCAAGCCCTAATACTGTATTAGCACAAAAAAACAAAAAAATCCTTGCTAAGGTTAGTGTCTTACCTGTTGCTTAAGTGAGAATGAAGTTATGTGATATTTTTTGTTCTGTTTTGTTTTGTTCTTTTTGTCTATCGTGGGGCCTGAACTCTGGGCCTGGGGCCTGTCTCTCAGCTCTTCAGCTCAAGGCTAGCGCTCTACCACTTGAGCCACAGTGCCACTTCTGGCTTTTTCTGCTTATGTGCTGCTAAGAAATCAAACCCAGGGCCTCATGCGTGCAAGGCAAGCACTCTGCCACTGAGCCACCTTCCAAGCCTTATGTGATGTATTTTTATGTGCATTTCTATTTCCTGCCTGTCCTACCAACTAGAGTAATGGCCTCCTTGAGTTTATCTCCTGTTTTGTGGAATGACCATTGCGGAGGGGGGGGGGGGTGGTCGGGAGGGTGGGGAGGGTGGATTGGGGGGGGGGGGGGGAGCGCGGCTATGATTTAGGTATTGTAGAGTCTTTATCAGCTCAGTAGCAATTATTCTGACCTGGATGCTAAATCAGGTTATTCACTTGCATGAGTTTACACATCATGTAAGTATTATATTTCGACTGAGACCATGCACAGTCTTATCTCTGAAGCTTGCTCAGGATGGTCCTTTCTGTGATGTGTGTCTTCCCTGCTCCTGTGAAAAGCTCTCTAAACTCAGTTGGTCCCACTTGGGCTTCATCACCTTCCTTTGTCACCCCAGTTCTCTGCTTTGGTGGCAGTTGTTCATCTGTTTTTTTCCCTGCCTGATTAGAAATACCCCATCCATTATGTGACCACCATTACTTAGTTCAAGAGACTTGAAAATATTTAATGTGCATAATTGATTTGGTGTGTATAGCCTGGCATTGGTTTTCCTTTTTGTACAAAGTCTATCTTTCCATCTCTACACAATACTCATGACTGGGCCCTGCATTTAAATAGATTTGAATAAATATCTGAAATGTTGCAACCTTCATTTTTTTAAAGAATTATTTTGGGCTATGCTGGGGAATGAACTTGAGGCCGCATGCTTGCTGGGAAGATGCTCTACTGCTTGACCTGTCTCTAGCTCCTGTTTGCATTGGTTATTTTCAAGGTAGGGGCTTGTTTTATGCCAAGATTGGCTTGTCCGTGATCCTCCTACTTGCGCTTGCCCAAGTCACTAGAGATAACAGGCACATGCCACTGCACCTAGCCATTGTGCTTCCCCAGTAGGTAACAGATATGTGCCACTGTGCCCAGCCATTGGTTGAGATGGAATCTTGTGATTTTTTTGTTTTTGCGTAGGCTGCCTCAAATGGCAATAACTTGATCCCTGCCTCCCATATAGCTTGGTTTCAAGGCTTAAGCTACCACACTAGACGCTTTTCGTTGTTGTTTTTGTTAGCAGGAATCAGTTATAGAAAGGCGTACAACTCTCATTTCTAAAGTTGAGAAATTAGAGCACAGTGAGAAAAACAATTCCTTGGGATTAGCCCTTCTGTCTATATTTGCTTATAGTGTACAAGGCATGGAATAGGTACCAGGTACCAGCAGCTGAAACTGCTCCGGTGGTCACATCCTCCGTTATAAGTACATGTACCAGTGTTCCTGGATAGAAGTGCACTCAGATAAGTTGACAGCCCTTTCAGTAGAAGAAGGAGCAGCTTGGGCATGCCTCACATATGTCTTACAGGCCCCAGAGCTACTGGAGCAGCAGAAGTACACAGTGACGGTTGACTATTGGAGCTTTGGTACCTTGGCCTTCGAATGCATCACAGGTTTCAGGCCTTTTCTCCCCAACTGGCAGCCTGTGCAATGGTAAGTGAGGGCCCAGACCTGGCCATGTTCATCTCTTTGCTATCCCCTTATTCAGTGACCCTTCTTGCCTGACAAATCTGTTAGGACTTAGCTGTCAACAGCTCCACAAACCTTGAACAAAAGAGCAGTTGTTAATATCTTTAAGTATAGTACTATGTGAATTCCATTGGCCCTTCCTTCAGTAGTAACAGCAGTACATTATGAACCAGTGTGTTCATTCTTACTGAGAGTACTATTAGTAAACAGAAAGAAATGATATGTGCACATGACAGATTATGAGGAAATATTTACTGATGGCAAGTTTTACTATACGTGAATATAGTCTTTTAAGAGTATATTTTCACTGTATCACTGATACTGATTCTAAGCTATTAGGTTGAAGTAATCTACCTTAGCTTCCTGAGTAGCAGGGACTGCAGTTCTACACTACTGTCCCTGACCTAAATATAAATTTCTGTTTTAAAAGCAAAAGGAAATGGCTTAAAATATAAATTAAAAATTTTTTAATTTCTAAATAAAAAACCTAAAGGATACAATCAAGCTTTTTAAAATTCTTTAACTTGGTTTTTTACTAGTTATAAAAATATTGTCAAGTGCCACTGGCTCACAACTGTAATCCTAGCTACTTAGGATCCCAGTTCAGAGCCAGCCTGGCCAGGAAAGTCTGTGAAACTCTTTATATCCAGTTAACACCTTTCCCTCTCCCTACCCACCGCACCCCCCCAAAAAAAAAAATGTCACAGTAGAGCTGTAGTTCAAGTGGTAGAACACTTTAACACCCAGGCCCTGAGTTTAAATCCTAGGATTGTCACCCAACTATCACCCAACTATCTGCTCCCTTTCCCCCCAGACAGATACTGTGTGCTGGAGGATATTTACCCCCAACTAGATTGTCCTACATTTGTTTATTAGTTCATTACTTGTCCTCTGCTTTCATTCACCAATGGTGGTATAATGTGAACAATGTCCTGCACATGTCTACCCTGAGAGAAATTATTCTTCATAGCCAATTCATATATAATACAAAAATCTTTGTTTGGAAGCATAGCTCAAGTGGTAAAAGGTCTGCATAGCATGTGTACGGCCCTGAGTTCAAATTCCTGTCTGGAGCCAGACCAATACTATACAATTTGATTATCTCAAAGACTAATTTTGATTTTTTTTTTGTGCTTTTGGAAATTGTATAAACAACTTTTTAAAAGGACAATTAGATAATATAGAAACAGTCGCTGTGAATATTTTTTGTGTCTTTGGACTCTTCAGTATATGTTTGTGTATTTTATACTTTATAAAAACAGAAGTAGTGCTGAGCACTGGTGGCTCATGTCTGTAATCCTAGCTACTCAAGAGGATGGTTCTTGAGGCCAGCCCAGGCAGGAAAGTTTGTGAAACTCCAACTAATAACCAAAAAGCTGGAAGAGGAGCTGTGGCTCAAATAAGTAGTCTGCTAACCTTGAGCAAAAAAACTCAGGGACAGCGCATAGGCCCTGAATTCAAGCCCCAAGAATAGCACAAGATAGGTGATGGTGCATATTCTTTTTTTTTTTTTTTTTTTTTTATGGTGCATATTCTGATCCAACCTACTCTTACATTAAGGCTCTCAAACAGTCTGTGTGTTTTTTCATGTTATTGAGAATATCTGTTTAGTATCCACTAACTACAAGTTCATTTAACTTGTGCTGTATTGTGAAAAGCTTGAGTGTTTTATAGTTTTTACTTCTGCAAAGAATAGAGAAAATAATATCCTTATTGGTAAATCCTTTCACAACCACAGTTATTTCCCTGGGGTATATTCTTAGGAATTGAATTAACAGATCAAACACATTTAAATTTGATGTTTATTATCTGCATAATAAACAGTTCTGCTAGCCAGAAAAGTAGAATAAATACAAGCTTCTGGTCCCTGTTACCAAACTGTTGCCAGCACTGGCTGCTGCCATCTTTTGAAATTTATTTAGACATCAAGTCAAATTTGAAAAATGAGAAGAAAAATTAAAGTCTTAAGTACAGAGTTTCTTGGGAAAATGAGTTAATTTTTGGTAAAAAAAAAAAAAAAATAATGGCAACTATTTGTGCTTATAAGATATTTTGGATATTTAGCTATTGTATGTTTATATTTTTTACCTACCCAGAGAAATATGTCTCTTTTAATTAAAAAAATGACAAAAAAAAGAAGAAAGTGTAACCTTTGAAATCAGTTCTAGAATAAAGGTTTAGATGACAGCGGGCTCCATCCTGAAAATCCTGGGGCCACAGCAAAGCATACCTTCCTATGGTGATCTGACAAACTAGGCATTGTTATTAAAGCCTTATAGTTTCTAGAATATGGGGAACCCAACAATTGACTTGTAGTCAGAGTTTATAATGAACCAACAAAGAAATAGCTTTATTCATATTCCTCTAGTAGTTTTAGTTAGCCAATTCAAATATTGAACTTTTCCATTATGTATAACAAGAAGGGTTAAAATCCATTACTGGAATACTGTTTACAGATATACCCCAATGGCGCTGTCTTAGTAGTATACCTGCCACCACCACCTAGAATCTTCTTCCTCTAATCTCAGCATTGTCTATAGGCCAGATGAACTTCTCTGAAACTAAAAAACTTCTGTGAACTTTTGTGAATTGAAGAGAAGAGCCTGATTGATCTATTCCTTTTTTTTTTTTTTCCAGTCATAGGGCTTTAACTCTGGGCCTGGGTACTGTCCCTGAGCTTTTCAGCTCAAGGCAAGCGCTCTACCACTGGAGCCACAGTGCCACTTCTGGTTTTCTGGTGATTAATTGGAGATAAGAGTCTCAAGGCTTTCCTGCCTGGGCTGGCTTTGAACTGCGATCCTCAGATCTCAGCTTCCTGAGTAGCTAAGATTATAGGCATGAACCACCTGCACCCAGCTCCTTTAATATCATTAACCTTAGCCAACTTCTAAAAATTTCACTGTTTCAGCTCAAGTGACAGGTGGCTAATAATTTCAGGCAGATGCAGTTTGGGTTTTATAATTCTACTATAAAGCTGTTTTGAAAACAATTTTAGAACTAGTTTAAGCAATAAGCATTTTTGGGGGGGGAGGGGGTCCGGTCATGGGGCCTGAACTCTGGGCCTTGGTGCTGTCCCTCAGCTCTTCAGCTCAAGGCTAGCACTCTACCACTTGAGCCACAGCGCCACTTCTGGCTTTTTTTTTTCTGCTTATGTGGTGTTGAGGAATAGAACCCAGAGCTTCAAGCATGCAAGGCGAGTGCTCTACCACTGAGCCACCTTCCCAACCCCATAAGCATTTTATTTAGTGCATCTTTTTAGTAATTTCCCGCTCCTCACTACTTTTTCTCTTCTACTCCCCTTTCCCAGTACTGTGTCTTGAACTCAGGACCTCAACACTCTTGTGAGGCATTCTTGCCCATGGCTGGTACTCTACCACTTGAGCCATGCCTCCAGCCTAGCTTTCTGCTGGTTAATTGATGATGGAGTCTCACAGACTTTTTTGCCCAGACTGGTTTCAAATTTTAGTACTCCACATTTCAGCCTTTTGAGTAGCTAGGATTACATACATGAGCCTCAGTTCCCAGCTAGAGCTATCTCCTGACTTCTGCCTGTGATAGTTTCACTTGAATTGTAAGCCACCAGCATCTGCTGTACCCACCTTTTCTGGATTTCCTGCATGCTTAATACAGGCCAGTTTACTGCTTTCCAGTGAGATGTGTTCAGAGCTAAAGCTTTATTTACTTATTTTTTAATTTTCCACATCTTTGAGGAAAAGTTGTATTTGGACATTCAGAAGAGTGGCACCATAATGGTGCCAGGTGCTGGTGGCTCATGCCTGTAATCCTAGCTACTCAGGAGGCTGAGATCTAAGGATCATGGTTCAAAGCCAGCCTAGGCAGGAAAGTCTCTGAGACTCTTTATCTCCAATTAACCACCGGGAAACCAGAAGTGGCGCTGTGGCTCAAGTGGTAGAGTGCTTATCTTGAGCTGAAGAACTCAGGGACAGCACCCAGGCCCAGAGTTCAAGCCCTATGACCCAACAACAACAACAAAACAAAAAAGTGGAAATTATGTCAGATTTTTGGTCTTGAATTCCCAGTTCTTCCATGTTGGAGTAGTCTTCTGAGCTTTGATTCCTTGCACTAGTGGCAAACAAAAAAATGTCACCACTTGATGTTATCTTAGTACCTAAGGGAATTATGGCTGAGTATTTGGTTATCTATGAATCATTATTTAAGTTATCATCCTTGTTACTAAAAAGATTGGAAACCAGTTGAATTTAACTTTTTTCTTCTTCCAACACCTCAAGAAATTCCTTAGGTTGGAAAAAAGTAAATGTTCTTTTACTATTAGAAAATATTACTTAGCTATGTACAAATAAATTGATGTACACTTGTGTGCATGTGTTTGTACATCTTCCTTGTCAATGTGACATATATATAGCGACTTTGGTTTGGCTTAACTAATTCTATCCTCTATTAAAACATGAGAGTTTGTTTGATGAAAGTGGAAGGTGGAAAAAAGGAAGTGGAGGAAATGGCAATGCTGTCTGTAGAAGTCAAGGCACACATGGCTAATTGCTGCTCTCAGAGGCTGTCTAGAAATCACTTAGGCAGCAATGACTTTTTCATTTCATCATGGAGCTGTAGCTGGAACCAAGTCCTTGCTCATGTTAAGTACATGTTATACACTGAGCTACATCCTCAGCATCCTGTCAGAAGACAGGATGGAGACAGGATGAAATATCTACGTGGGAATTTAAGTCATCTGTGCAGTCCTCAAGGATGTTACAAATGTGACCCTGAACTTGGTAAGGGATTTCTTAACAAGGTGGTACATTTACAGGCATTCCAAAGTCCGGCAGAAGAGTGAGGTGGACATCGTTGTTAGTGAAGACTTGAATGGAGCGGTGAAATTTTCAAGCTCTTTACCATACCCCAATAATCTTAACAGGTAAGGTGCAGTGTTAGTAGTATACATAGTTTCCTTCCCTTGCTTAAAAATTCAAGTCTGAGGTGACAACTTTTAGACATATTATCAGGATATTATTCTGTTAGCTAGAATTTGACGTAAGTATCTCAACCTTAAACAAACAAGATGGGTTATCATCTCACATCTCTGTATAAATAGAAATGTCTTATTGGTTGGTTGATTGATGGATTGTCCTAGGAATCTAAGGTAAGACCTCATACATTCTAGGCATCCACATTACCACTGTGCAAAATCCCCAGACCCCAAATCATCTGTTTTTTTTTAAAATTCACTCCCAGTTTTTCTGTACATCTTATTACTCTTAGTGTTCTCTAACTTATATTCAGTTCGGTATAGGGTTTGTCTCCTACTACAGTTAAGCCTTTTCCTTTTAGTAGTACTGAAGTTTAATTCAGGACCTCTAAGTTGCTAGGCAAACACTCCACCACTTGAGCCATGTTCCCAGACCTTTTTTGCTGAGAGAGTCTTGCTTTTGCCTCCCACGTAGCTGCAATTTTCGTAATGAGCCACCACACCTAGCTTGTTCATTGAGATGACATCTTGTTAACTTTTTTGTTAGACTGGTCCAGAACCACAATCTTCCTAATCTCTACTTCCCAAGAATCTGGTATTACCTGTCCACCACTGTAGTAAGCCTTTTATGGGTAGGGAATAATATTTTATCTCTTTGCAATCCTCTTCTGGCCTAATACTATGTCATAGTAAAGAAATCAATCTGTAGTTCAAAGGGCATTGCAGTCTAGTCTAGTCTTAGAGCCAGAATATAAGCAGGATTATCAGGGGGGAAAAAAAAAACCTATGTATGTAAGTTATATAAGCTACAATTATTTTAAGTAAGCCACACTAGTAACCACTGCCATGATTATCAGAGGATAGGAAGGGTATTGTGTGCATTACTGCTTGGAGGAATGACTATGCTCAGGAGCCTTTCTTCTCTGTTCCCCTCCCCCTTTCCTTCCCCTCCCTTCTCCTTCTTTTTGTTGGTCATGGGGTTTGAACTCAGGGCCTGGGAGCTTTCCCTGAGCTCTTTTGCTCAGGCTACCCTTCTACCACTTCTGGTTTTCTTGTGGCTAATTGGAGATAAGATCTCAAGGACTTTCCTGCCCATGTTGCCTTTGAACCTCAGTCCTCAGATCTCAGCCTTCTGAGTAGCTAGAATTACAGGTGTGAGATACTGGTGCCAGGTATGAGGTTTTCTTTTGAGAAAATGGAGAGATGGGTAGGGCATGGACCAATGAAGAATATTGAGGAAGCTCAAAGGGGAGAAACAGGAGTGAGCAGAGACATACATATAGGAGAGGCAGTGAGTTGCTGGGAGAGTCAATAAGTTGCTGGGTTGGCCTCAGAAGATTCCAGTGCATCCTGGAGGCAGCTCTAGGGGCCAGGAAGACTTTGAATTTTGTCTTGTATCCTCATGCATGCTCTTGAGGGGTGTATTATCAAATCCTGGAGTATAGGTCCAGATTATGTGAGGATAACCTGCAGGAAGGGTCAGCCTAAAAAATGCCCTTCCTCTTCCTTCCTTCTCCTTCCCTTTTCCTCTCTTACTTTTCTTTCTTGGGTCAAACCCAAGGCCTCTAGCTGGGTAGATAGCTCTGTACATTTTGTACACAATTCAGTAATTGTGAGGCTAAGAAGATAAACATCCCAATAGTTAAATTGAATGGAAATGTTCGCACTTTTTTTCTCACATGAAATACTTTCATTTGTTAGCTGCCACCTATGTGTGTTATAGTGAGATGCACATGGGCAGCTTGATCGTGGCTCATGTGTTTTCTATACTTTCTGCTTTTCTCAGCGTACTGGCCGAGCGACTAGAGAAGTGGCTGCAGCTGATGCTCATGTGGCACCCCAGACAAAGGGGCACAGACCCCCAGTATGGGCCCAATGGCTGTTTTAAGGCCCTGGATAACATCTTAAACTTGAAGGTGAGAGTCAAGCCAGAGTAGCTCTGAGGTAACAGCTGGGGTCCCCTATGGGACACAGTTGTTATTATAAGGAAGAAGTGCCCAGGACAAAGCAAGTCATTGGCTCAGTGGGGGAAATTTAGTCTCTTATGAGTCTTTCTACAAAGTAAGAGAATAAAATGTAAGAGTTGATTGATGTTGGCTTCCACTACCAGGAAAATTGAAGACTAGAACACCTGGAACATGGCACCCAGCCTCCCTCCATTGAGCTAGGCCTTTCTTTATGGGACTTGGAAGCAACCAACATTTAGGAGCTTGGGAGTAGTGAAGGAGTGGAATGTCTTGGCAGATATATGGCATTTCTGTTAAGACCAATTTTTCACAGTAAAATCTGTTGCAGCTGGTTCATATCTTGAACATGGTCACAGGCACCATTTATACTTATCCTGTGACAGAAGATGAGAGCCTGCAGAGCTTAAAGGCCAGAATCCAGGAAGACACGGGAATCCTGGAGAAGGATCAAGAGCTGTTGCAAGAGGCGGGTCTGGCATTGATCCCTGACAAGCCTGCCATCCAGTGTATTTCAGATGGCAAGGTAAGCCCCTGGCTTCTTACAGACCACACTGTTTTCCCCTGACTGCCTCCTAGGAAACAACTTCTCAGATTGCTAATCTGTAGTGTTAAGTGGTCTGTTAATTACACAGTTCAGGAAGCTGCTTGTTTCTTTAAGCTGTGGTGTGAGACTCCTGTGGTGTTTTCTGGAGACACGTCACGTCACTGCCAGACCATTGGTGACTTTTTTTTTTTTGCATTTATTGCCAAAATTCAGTTTTACTCTTCTGGTCACCCAAAGCTATTCATGATGGATATCTGCATGTGCAGACTTGTGTTGGACACCTTTGTTGGCTACAGCAACATGAGATAGGTCCCTACCCTAAAGAGCTTACAAAGTAACTTACGGAAATAGAGCTGCATGCAAGCAGCAGTCATTGAACAAGAAAGTGAATGCTGAACTTCAGAACTGCATAGGAAGGACTGTCAGAATAAAGTAGAATACTTTAGTAGAATCTGTTGATAAGCACTACAGGAACAGGAAAAAGAATGCCTAGTGCCTATGGGCTGAATATGATATTCTTGGACCGCGGGGAGAGCTCAGAAACCACTCATGATTAGTTGGAAAAGGGGGAGGGGAAGGTCAGATCTCACTCTATTCTTGTCCCTTTGCAGCTGAATGAGGGTCGCACATTGGACATGGATCTTGTTTTTCTCTTTGACAACAGTAAAATTACCTATGAGACTCAAATCTCTCCACGGCCACAACCAGAATGTGTCAGCTGTATCCGTAAGAACATTTATTTAAGCATTGATCAGTTGTAATTCTGGGGACAAAGTGGGAAGAAGTGATACGAAGCCAGGGAGAGGGCTACTAAGGAGAAAGTTGTTTACTGGTCCTCAGGGAACGAGAAGCTCATGAAAAAACATCAAGAAGGCTGGGAATGTGGTTTAGTGGTAGAGTGCTTGCCTAGCATGCATGAAGCCCTTGGTTTGATTCCTCAGTACCGCATAAACAGAAAAATACAGAAGTGGTGCTGTGGCTCAAGTGGCAGAGTGCAAGTCTTGAGCGCAAAGAAGCTCAAGGACAATGCCCAAGCTCAATCCCCGGGATGAGCCAAAAACAAACAAAACCACATCAAGGGGATTATTGGTGAATTCAGCCTCAAACTAGAGATTTAGGTAGGGAACAAAGAATACTGCCTACTAGCCATTTTATTTATTTTTAGATTTGTACTTACATTTTTATAGTTAATGTTTAAATTATACCCTCAAAGGACACAAAAGAGTGAATATATGATGAAAAATAAGCCACCTTCTGTTTCATACTTGCCAACCAGTGAGTTTCCCTTCCAGGAAAACTGCTATTCTCAGATTCTTGGGCATCCTTGTCTGCAGGATTATTTGTTCCCCAAGCAAATGATAGCATTAAATACATATTCTTCTTTACCTATCTTTTCCCCTATACAGATATTACCCTTTACTAGTATGGATATGTGTGGAGCTGACTTATTTTTAATGACTCTTTGATATTCCTCTGCTTGAATGTTTGATGGACTTTTTTCCATTGGTCTGTATTAAATTGTTGAAGGAGTTTTATCATGACATTTCCATACATGTATATAATATTCTCTGATCATATTCACTTCTTACCTTTTTATCCCTCTTTCCTCCTTCCTCCTTTCCCTTCTACTTCTACATCTCTAATAGTCTCCTTTTTACTTTTTATAACTTCAGTTGTTTTGCTTTCCCCTTGGCTTTCACAAATGAGAGAAAAATGTGATATTTGTCTTTGTGAGTCTGGCTTAGTTTGATTAACATGATCTCCAGTTCACCCATTTCCCAGCAAATGACATAATTGCATTCTTTTTAATGGCTGAGTAAAACTCGATTTTATATCTATATATATATAAAACACATTCTCCATCTGTTGATGGGTACAAAGGCTAATTCTTTAACTAGTTTATTATGAATAGTGCTGTGATAAATGTGGATACTGCTTCTTTCTGTAGCAAGCTGACTTTGACTTCCTTGGGTGTAAACCCAAAAGTAGTATGACTGTATCATACAGGAGTTCTATTTTTAATTTTTGTGTGTGTGTTGGGGTTGGTACTAGGTGTTGAACTTAAGATCTTGAGCTTGCTAGGCAAATGCACTCTACCACTTGAGTCATATCTCAGTGCTTTTTGTTTTAGTTTATTGTTCACATAGTATCTTGCACTTTTTCCTTGACCAGATTTAGACTATAATCCTCATACAGTGGCCTTCTGAGTACTTGGAATTTACATGCGCATGTCACCTAGCCTGACTTTTTCCCCAGAGCTGAGGACTGAACTCAGGGCCTTGCACTCGCCAGGCAAGTGCTCTTCCATTGAGCTAAATACCCAACCCCACCTGGCTTTTTTTTGATATGGTGTCTTACTTTTCTATCCCCGCCATGGGCTGGCCTCAAACCACATTCTCCTCTCTCTTTCTCCTGAGTAGCTAGCACGTTACCCTCTAGTTTTAACTTTTGAGGAACTCCTATCTATACTGATAGGGAATAGAGTAATTTGTAATCAAGTGTGAATAACAGGTGTGTGTGTGTGTGTGTGTGTGTGTGTGTGTGTGTGTGTGTGTGTGTGTGTGTGTGTGTGTGTGTGTGTGTGTGTGTGTGTGTTATGCACGTGTGCGCTGGTTGTGGGAGTTGAACTCAAGGCCTGGGTGCTGTCCCTGAGGTTTTTTTTGCTCAAGGCTACTGCTCTGCCACTTGAGCCACAGCTCCACATCCAGCTTTTTTATTGGTTAATTGGAGATAGGAGTTTCACAAACTTTTCCTGAGTAATCTATCTTTGAACTGTGGTCCTCAGATCTCAGCCACCTGTCCAGCTAAATGTAGTTCTGAGTTGCATTTTGTTGATGACTAAGAATGTTGAATTTTTTTTCATGTATTTATTGACAGTTTGAAAAGGGTCTGTTCATTTGCCCATTTAGTGATTGGATTATTACTCTAATATTTAATTTTTTAAAGTTACTCATTTATTCTGGATATTGGTCACCTGTCAGATGGTAAAGATAGTCTCCCTATATTTGATTTGTTGCTTTTGTTGTTTTAGAGCTTTTATATATACAGTAAAATCCCATTTGTCAGTTCTTGCTCCTGAAATACTGGAGTCCTATTCAGAAAATCTTTGCTTATGCCTGTAACTTGGAGTATTTCTCCTATTGTTTTCCTTTACTAGATTAAAAACAAGTTTGACATTAAAGGCTTTCATTTCTTTTTTTTTTGGGGGGGGGGGGTCCGGTCGTGGGGCCTGAACTCTGGGCCTGGGTGCTGTCCCTCAGCTCTTCAGCTCAAGGCTAGCGCTCTACCACTTGAGCCACAGCGCCACTTCCGGCTTTTTTCTTTTTGCTTATGTGGTGCTGTGGAATCGAATCCAGGGCCTCAGGCATGCAAGGCAAGCGCTCTACCACTGAGCCACCTTCCCAGCCCAAAGGCTTTTATTTCTTTTTAGTTAGTTTTTGTACAAAAAGTCTCACAGCCTTTCCTGTCCAGGCTGGCTTGGAACAGTGGCCCCCAGCCTCCTGAGCAGGCTGGGTTTACAGTCAGGCCAACAACTCTTAGCCTCTCTGTTTCTCTGTTTTTTCATCTGTCCTGTCGCCCCTTTCATAATTCCTGATGCTCTTCTTCTCGTTGGAATACAATCTTCTCAATGAAGAAAGTTTTGATAATGAGACTTCTCTCTCTCCCCTGCACGCAATTTATACTTAAAATAAACAGATTAAGTACCCAAGGTCTCAGCAATCTCCAGACTTCTTGCTTTCTTTTTTTTTTTTTTAATTTTATTTGAGAACATACTGTACAGAGGGGTTACAATTACATGGGCAGGATAATGCGTACATTTCTTACCAAGCATTGCAGCCTCCTCCTTTGTTTACCCTTCACCTCCCTTCCCAGCCTCCCCCCTCCCCCCCACCCAATCACACCCCCCTCCCCCCCCACACCGACATTGTAAAGCTGGTTTTGACATGACATTTTGTACTTCTCATTGTTGCAACAGGTCCACCTGAATCCTTAAACGACTTGTTTGTCCCCGTCTCCTCCACATGTCATACTGACATCAAATATAGTGAAAGTGGGGGTTACAACTTCTTGCTTTCTTAAGCATCTCCAGTGCTACTGGTTGGCATTTCTTTTGTAGAAAGCCTCATACAACTTTAATTGTGGTGAGCATAAGTATTTCTATTAAAAAATAAATGGGCTTCCTCTACACATGTCAATAAATGGTTTGGAAAAATGTTTCTTCAGATCAAATTAATAAACATTTACTAACCATCTGACACATGATTATACTGTTAGTGGGGCACACAAAGTGATACCCAGAAAGTTACACAGCAGTACAATGGCTATATATTATATTGCAAAACAGGATGTGGTTTCTTGTAGAGCAGTTATTCTCTGACAATTGCACATCTCTGTTTCCAGTTCAGGAGCCAAAGAGGAGCCTCTCTTTCTTCCAGCTGAGAAAAGTGTGGGGCCAGGTCTGGCACTGCATCCAAACCCTGAAGGAGGACTGTAACCGGCTTCAGCAGGGACAGCGAGCTGCCATGTACTGTGCCAGACAGTTTTTCACTTAATTTAATTTTTTTGGTTTATTTAGCTCCAGGGAGGTGGTTGAGGCAGGGATCCAGAAGCAACTATGACTGAGACTGGTTTAGAAGGGCGGGAAGTGGTGTGTGGGCTTGTTGGAGGATGGCTCTTTTGGACCTGATGGGAGACTGTGGTGAGGACTTGAGGCAGAAGTGTAAAACTTAAGAGCTGAACTGGCTTAGCTGTGCACAGAATTTGGAGCTCAGAGAAGCTTACTACAGTTTGGGTTGGTAGAACTCCCGAGGTACATGAGATTTGCAAATATTTTCCATGGTTATGGTGAACTTAGGTAATTGGCTTTGCTAATTCCAGTTTTGTGTAGAACCTCATGCATTGCTAGAGGTTAGAAAATTGCCCTTATAGTTATAAGTGGCCGCTTTAATAATAGTGGTGATTTTTAGCATAGCAAGGACCTCCCTTGGCATTGGAAGGATTTTATTATAGTGTAGGAAATAGAATTGGATCCTGAAGGTGCTCCAAGGTTCTGTATCTTGTGGTCCCTGCAGGATGAATCTCCTTCGGAATAACAGTTGCCTTTCCAAAATGAAGAATTCCATGGCCTCCATGGCTCAGCAGCTCAAAGCTAAGTTGGATTTCTTTAAAACCAGTATCCAGATTGACCTGGAGAAGTACAGAGAGCAAACCGAGTTTGGGATCAGTGAGTGTATTTTGCAATAAGTTATAGAGTCCCTTCCTTTCTCTTTCTCTCCTTCCCTCACTCTTTAGCCCCTTCCCTCCCTCCCTTTCTTCCTTTCCTTTCTTTTCTGAAGGTTTTTTTTTTTGTCATTTTATAATAGAATGTTCATTTCTGTTTTGATTTTGTGGTGTTTTTGTTCTGTTTTTAATTTTTTTCTTCTCATTTTTTCCCCCCAGCATCAGATAAACTGCTGCTGGCCTGGAAGGAAATGGAACAGGCTGTGGAGCTCTGTGGGCGGGTAGGAGATGCATCTTATGTTTCTGTGCTTATGGAGTAGGTGAAATTTTGTTCTATCATTTTCATTTTTTTCCCAATCAAATAGTGTATTGCTCTTTTATGTCAAAATTTAAATTTTCCTTGACATGCTCTTTGACTTTAATCATACTTAATGGGCAGAAACTCAGAGTAACCAGTATAAGGAGCTCTACATTGTTGTTGGGGAAAAGCCCAGACTTTTTGCTTTCAGGAAGGACTTATTGTCAAAGTTTTGTCTAGTTTTTGGGGGGACATAAATTCCATTTGAAATAAAAGATAGGCAGAAAGTTTCAGCATACTAAATCAGGTACCACTGAGAAACTGTAATCATGGAATCAAGGGAAGTCAGTGTGATTAAGTGAATCATGCACAAATTCAAGGCCCAGCTTCCAAGGTTTTTTCCACCATCCTCCCAGTGCACTTGGGCAAGGACCTGCACCTCTGTGACTTAATATCTGTTTATGAATTAGCCCTGATGGAGTTTATGCATGCTTAAAAGTAGACCACCATGACAGTTCTGAATTTAATTATGGGAAGGGGCACGTGCTTGTCTCTCATTCATCATCTCTGACATAGAGCAGAATCTGGACCTCCCCACACAGGTGGCACTGGGATGAACAAGTTAAGAGAAAACAAAGTAATGTGCATTGGGCATATTCTCTGTGCCAAGCATTCCACGTGTGCTTACTTGATTTAATCCTTGGCAGTCCTACTGAAAGTCTGTTTTATAGTAGAAAAAACTGTACCTCGTTAAAGAAGTGCTCATGAATTTCACAGCTAGAGAGTGGTAGATGTAGCATCTAAACTCAGGAGGTCCTTCTGATTCCAGAGGACATATTCCATCTAGACAGTCAGTTGAGAGACCGGTGAGTTTGGAGAATCTTTCCCTGCCTGTCCTGGCCAATCTCACCCTTGATGTTCTTCAAAAAAGCTAAGGGAGGCCGGGTGTTGGTGGCTCACGGCCTATAGTCCTAGCTACTCAGGAGGCTGAGATCTGAGGATCACGGTTCAAAGCCAGCCTGGGCAAGAAAGTCTGTGAGACTCTTATCTCCAATAACCCACCAGAAAACCAGAAGTGGCACAGTGGCTCAAGTGGTAGAGCACTAGCCTTGACCTGAAACACTGAGGGACAGAACCCTGGGACTGGCCAAAAAAAAAAAAAAAAGCCAAGGGGACAGCACCTAAACCTGAGTTCAAACACTTGATACCAGCACACATACATTCTTCTTACCTCAGTTGACATTAGCACAGTTTTTTTCATCAGGAGAATGATGTGAAACATTTGGTGGAACGAATGATGGCACTACAAACAGACATTGTGGACTTACAAAGGAGCCCAATGGGCCGGAAGCAGGGGGGCACACTGGATGACTTGTGAGTACCACCCAGCAGTGGCCATTTGTTTTTTTTCTCCAGTGCACCAACACAGTGGTAGAGTTTAGAATAGACTCAGGAAGCCCCATGGGACCGTCCTGTAGAACATGTCCCTGGTAAACCATCTCGACGCATTCCAGGCCAAATCACCGAAACTGCACCCTTGTGTTGAAATCTACTATTGGCAAGAAACACTTTTCTCCCTCACTGATGTGTGTAGATCCCTTTAGCTATTGCCCATTAGAAGAGTGTGTAGTCTGTGTTGAAAAACAAACTTTACAATTTGTGTGGGGGAGGGGAGGGCGGGGAGTGTAGTTGTGGAGGTGGTGGGGAAGGGATGGTAGGGGAAAAACAAAGGAGGAGGCAACAATGCTTGATAAGAAATGCACTCATTACCTTGCTCATGTAACTGTAACCCCTCTGTACAATATTTTTTTTTTTTTTGGGTCCGGTAGTGGGGCCTGAACTCTGGGCCTGGGCGCTGTCCCTCAGCTCTTCAGCTCAAGGCTAGTGCTCTACCACTTGAGCCACAGCACCACTTCCGGCTTTTTTCTTTTTGCTTATGTGGTGCTAAGGAATCGAACCCAGGGCTTCATGCATGCAAGGCAAGCCACTGAGCCACCTTCCCAGCCCAGTATTTTCACAATAAAAAACTTATTTTTTTTAAAAAGAGTGTGTAGTATGTTAAGGCTATGAAATGCAAGTGGCCTTTACTGTTCTATCAGACATCACTGCTGCTCCAGCCCATCCTCACCCAGGCATGGCTCAAAGAGCAGGAAGTAGAAAAGAGAGTGAAGAGCTTGGCAAGTCTATGTATTGAACCTGGACGTGGTTCATGTAAATCTTTGTCAAATGCTTGACATTGATTTTGGCTCCAGAAGGGGATGAGGTTTCTGGGCATACCCATCCTATCTGGAGAAAATAAAGGTAGCCCCTGGAGCAAGCAGGATTTGTTTATTGATGGCTTTGCCCTTTTGGGTACCAAGTGTTCTCTGATGCTTATACTAAGACTTTAGGATGGGAAATTAGAAACATCAAAAATCTGATTTCCTCTATATGTCCTCTGATTCTTCCTCTTTTTTCTTTTCCTTTTCCTCCTCTTTCTTATTATTCTTCCTTTTTCTTATTATTCTCATTACCATTATTAAATCTTTCCATGTAGCCCAGACTGGCCTTCAAGTCACAAATCCCCTGATTCAGCCTCCTGCATGCTAGGATTACAGGCATGTGCCATCACTCCTGCCTGTAATTCTTTAATCTTTCATTCTCTTCCAGTTTTCAAATGGAGCCTTCTTTTAAGATTGTTGCCAGCCTCACCTGTATTAGGGAATGGCAGTTTACATCTGCCCCTGGGCTCACATCTGCTCCTGTTTAGGCCCTAGAATTAATTTTTGCAGAAGCCAAGTGGGGAATTCAGGATTGAGCAGATCTTTCTTTCTTGAAACTTTGCTCTCATTAAACAGGAGGAGTTTGAGTTTTGATAAGGGTGATCATTTGTTTACTAAAGATATCACCAGAAATAGTTCTTCTTATCAAGAAATTCATATCATCAGTCTTGTGTCTGGAAGTCAGTGATTCTCCTGCAAGAATTAGCAGAACATCTCTGTAGACAGGCTTGTTTAAAGCTAAATATAAGTACTGTTGCTTGTGTGTTTTAGAGAGGAACAAGCAAGGGAACTCTACAGGAGACTTAGGGAGAAGCCAAGAGGTAGGTGGGTTTGGCTGCCCCATCCCTTACCATCTCATTTCTGGGGCACTGGCACTCTGCCAGCCCCCTGGAACAACTGTTTCCTCTTCTATCCAGACCAGCGGACAGATGGTGACAGTCAAGAAATGGTTCGTCTCCTCCTTCAGGCAATTCAAAGCTTCGAGAAGAAAGTGCGAGTGATTTACACACAGCTCAGGTATGACTGCTTCCTACTCCATGGAGGGAGGTACCAGCTGGACATGGGGAAGTGTCTCCTTTACTCTCCTATAGTTTGCTCAGCTGCTCAGAAAAATGTAACAGCTGCGGATGGCTGAAGAGCAATACTGTGTTCCCACTGTACCAGAACCCACTGGGCTCTGTCATGTTTGTTCTTCACAGCAAAACTGTGGTTTGCAAGCAGAAGGCGTTGGAATTGCTGCCCAAGGTGGAAGAGGTGGTTAGTCTAATGAATGAGGATGAGAAGACGGTTGTCCGGCTTCAGGAAAAGCGGCAGAAGGAGCTCTGGAACCTTCTGAAGATCGCGTGTGTGAGTGTGCTTTTTCCTCTCATGGGGAATTACAGTCTTCCAGCAAGCCAGTCAGCCACTGTTCTACTGTCACTTCCCTTTGACATGGAATGGGCAGGGAGTAAAGGGCTAGGTAGAGTGGTTGGAGGAAGGTCTTGTACTAGGGTTTTTATTTATCCACAGTTGCTAATTACTGAAACTGACTGGTTCCAAATAGCAGAAATCTTCCTCTCAGTGCTCCAGAGGCCAGAAGTTAAAATTTCAGGTGTCAATTTGGTGCCAGTGGCTCATGCCTGAACTCCTAGTTACTCAGAAGGCTGAGACCTAGAGAATCTTAATTCGAAGCAAACCTGGGCAAGAAATTCCAAGAAGACTCCAATTAGCCAGCAAGAAGCTGGGTGCTAGTGGTTTATGTCTGTAATCCTAACTACTCAGAAGTCTGATATCTGAGGATTGTGGTTCAGAGATAGTCCATGCAGGAAAGTCCATGAGCCTCTTACCTCCAGTTAACCACCAAAAAGCTAGAAACGGACACAGCCCTGAGCAAAAAAACTATAGGACAGTGCCTTGGCCTTGAGTTTGTGCCCTAGTACCAGTATATGCATGTATGTACACATACACACACAATGGCATATAGGAGACATGGCTCAAGAGGTAAAGTGCCAGCAAGAATGTGAGGCCCTGAGTTCAGGCCTTGGCGCACGCGCGCGCTCTCTCTCTTTCTTTTTCTCTCTTTTTCCCTTTTTCTTTCTCTTCCTCTCTCTCCTCTCTCTCTTTTTCTCTTCCCTCCTCCTTTCTCTCTCTTTCCCCCCCTTCTCCCCATCCCCCCCCACATGCATATAAGCATACACATATACAAGTCCAGATGTCAGGCTGGGCATAGTGGCACATTCTTGCAGTCCTAGCACTGGAAAGGCTGAGGCAAGAGTATTGTGAATCCAAGGCCAGCCTGAGCTATATACAAAGTTGGAGACCAACCTAGATAAGACCTTGTATCTAACAAGCCAACAAAAAGATTGACAACAAAAAGTGTTGGCAGGATGGTACCCCTCTGACAGCTTCAGGGTGAATGCTCCTTGGCTTCTTCTAGCTTTAGTAACTTGAAGCCTTTTTTAGCATATGGCTGCCTCATTCTCATCTGCCTCTTCCTTCTCTCATGACCTCAACAATCTCTCAATCCACATGTCTTGTAAGAACACATAGAGGGTTATAGGAACTGAGCGTGTGTTTCAGTAGTCTAAAAGGTGCAGGAACTGAGCATTATCTCAGTAGTCTCAAATGTGCAAAGCCTTCAGTTCTGTTTGCAGCATCATGTTATATACTTTTAATCCTATCCTTTGGAAGTCTTAAGGCTAGAGGATAATGAGCTCAGGAGCCCAACCTAGGCTTTATGGTGAGATGCTGTCTCAAAAAAAAAAAAAAAAATTAAAAAAGAGTGGGAAGGAAAAGCAGGTAAGCAGATAGGAGCTAATAGAGGATCAGAATACAAAGATGGTGTTTTGTAAAGATCCTGGAGATTGGGTCATGCCTGTAAGACAAGCAAGAGGAGGCAGAGCACAGGAGATTTATATCAGAGAAAAAGGGACAGTTGATGATCAGGATCCATCAAAAGCATCAGTTCTGGATTTTCCAAGAAGGAAGAGGTATTTCTTCCTATAAGAAAGAAGGAACAGAAGAGAGGAGAGGTGATGAGCTGTGAGATCCAAGAGGAGAGAAGTTGGGGTATGTACATCTGATCAGCCACCTGCATTCATTGAGTGCTGACTATGTGCCAGTAATGTGAAAACTTGGGCATGTAAGAACAATCTAGAACATGTAGCCATAGCAAGTGAGAATGGTGATGTGAATGCAGGCAAGGACCACCAGCTTCTGTCTTGGAGGTGGGGGAGCAACCATAAAGGCTTCTGAAGAATAAAGAGGAGTTAGGTAGGGGTTTTGTGGCAATGAAGACATTCCAAAACCAAGACATTGCTTTTTCTGAGCCCGTGAGGCCCTAAAGAATATGGTGCAGTCTGGATGGGAGTAATAGCAGAAGGGTAACACCCAGGGAGACCTGGAGAGTGGCCAGAGCTATCTGATGCAGGCCTCTCTCATTTTTCGCACTTTTCACAGTGTAAGAGGGAACAGAGTTCAATGTTCCCATTCACATCAAAGGAACTTAAGTGTGGAAATGATACTATCCCATTCAGATTTTAGGAAAATCCCTGGTGGCAACTGGAAACAGGATGTGACACTTTGGTAGACCTCAGCATTTAGAGCAGTGGGGGCTGGAATCTGTCCTGTGGTTACTGATAGAGAGTTTGGGGAGCAAAGCTCTCTGATCGTGTGGGAACCAGTCAGCAGGAATGAATGACCTGCCACCCTCAAAGGCTAGGCAGAAATCTAGGCTGTGGATGGCATATATCTATAGACAAGTGATTGATAGGAGGCACAACATGTGGGTAAAAAACAGTGCAAAACAGAACTGCTTAAAAGACTGAAGTGTGGACCTTAATCTAGCCAGAGAAGAGAATATGAAACTAGAAACATCGCTAGCCTGAGGGCCAACCAGGGCTACCGGGCACACAGAAAAGTGGCTGCAACTATTGTCTATAGGCTGCAAGTATAAAAAAAAGTGCAGTAAGTAAATGGAGCCATTAACGGAGCATCAGTCTGGGTAGTGGACTAGTTCTAGCATATTTTGGTATCTCCTTATTTCTACCACAGTCCTAACTTCTTCATGTGTCTCAATCTCCTACTTGGAAAAGGGTTAAGACACATTCCTTTTCTTTTCCTGTAATAGCTTGTTAGGGAATCAGATGGATGAAAGGAAGCCTTCAAAGACAGGCTCTTCAGTCTCCCCACCTTTTGATACTGAAACACTTTAGAGGCTAAGTGTAAAGTTCCAGCTCTTGTCAAATTACCAGTAGATATATGTCAATATATGTCAGTTGGTGGTTTCTAGAAAGAACTCTGGTGACTTTTGGACAATTAGAAAATACAGTGGCATAAATGCAGAATTCATTTTATCACTGGGCTCCAAAATTTTCTTGGTTTGTTCCTTTAGAGCAAAGTCCGAGGTCCTGTCAGTGGAAGCCCAGATAGCATCAATACTTCTCGAGTCAGTCACTCTGGTCAGCTAATGTCCCAGCCTTCCTCTGCCTGTGACAGTTTACCTGAGCCAAACAAGAAAAGGTAAGTCATGGTGACAATGCCAAGTATAACATTTAAGGGAGCATATGGAGACCTTGGGGATAAAGATGTATGTTTATTACCAGTGTTCATTACTTCAGCATCTGATAGGGGATTTTTTTGTGTATGTATTTGTGCTGGTACTGGGGTTTAAACTATAGACTGTTCACATGTGCTTAGCTTTTCGATTAAGGCTGGTGTTCTACCACTTGAACCACCACTCTCAGATTTATCTTCCTGGGCTGGCTTTGAACAGCAGTTCTTAGATCTCAACCTCCTGCATGTGTTGCTAGTAGTAGCTAGTATTAATAGGCATGGGGTGCCAGCGTGACTGAAGATTTCCTTCTATTTGTTATAGATGCCAGACCCTGTGGACACAAAATTGATATATATTTTGTTCTCATAGTCCCTTGTCACTTGCTGTAACTAGCTAGTTTCCTTGTCTGATGGTTGGATTATTAATTGCTTAGTGAGAATATTGAAAGTGCTAGTCGGTCCATGCTGTTTTTTAGTCTTACCAATCATTTCTGTTCTTCAAAACCTATTTCCTTTTCCTACCATCTTCCTCATACCTGAGTTCCTGGCCTACTCCCTTCTGCTTACATCCACCTGGAGTTACTAATCTACTGTTTCTCCTCCTAATCCTCTCTTCATCTCCTGTTCATCTCTTTTCTTCCCTTTTATTACGTGAGTCACTGCGACAGAAGTATTGATGGACTAGTAGGGCTTCCTGCTTTGTCTGTTACTGCTGCTCCTCACTCGATCTTCTATATTGACCAAGAAGTTTCTTGATTAGTCACTAAAAGTAGCTTTTCACTACACTGTAGATCAAGTCTGAACTTATTCAGGCATTTGTCCCCATTTCAGTGTGGGTCTTAGATCCAGTGTCAACTTACAAACCACTTGTACTAATTCAACTTGTAAAGCCTTAACCAGACAAGCAGCAGCAGCAGCAGCAGAGATACAGGTTCTTGGGCCTCTTTAGAGCCCTAAATCAAGGTGATTCCCAGAAGTCCTCCAACTGGCTCTGCTGTACACTGTTAGGGAGGACCTAACAGTTACTGCCTCATTCCTCAGATGTCTTTTACAATTGTGCACACTGCTTCCCTCTGCCAGTTCCCAGTCACTGGAGATAGTTAAAAGCGGTCCCTTTCTACACTCTTTAGGTATACAAAAGAAATTGATAATGGCCTACCATTGGAGGGTAACCAGGGCAGGGGGTAAACCATAAAGGTTTCTTTTCACATGATAGTAATGTTCAAAAGCTAGGCATAGTAATGATTGTCCAACTCTGTCCATATATTCTACATGCAATTGTATACATTGAACAGGCAAAAAAATTTTTTGGTCGGTCCTGGGTCTTGAACTCTGGGCTTGGGCGCTGTCCTTGCACTCTTCAGCTCAAAACAAGTGCTCTAGCGCTTGAGCCACAGTTGCCGCTTCCGGTGGTTTATTGGAGGTAAGAGTCTCACAGACTTTCCTGCCCAGGCTGGCTTTGAACCGTGATCCTCAGATCTCAGCCTCCTGAGTAGCTAGGATTACAGGCATGAGCCACCGGTGCCCAGATAAACAGGCAAATTTTATGGTAATTTTATTGTATTATAATTGTATTGTATTGTATTGTATTGTAATAAAGGTGTTTTGAAAACTTTTTTTGGTGGTGGTAGTACTGAGGTTTGAACTGAGTCTCACACCGCAGACATGTTACCATCTGACTCACACCTCCACACCTTTTTTCTGTAGTTATTTTTCAGACAAGATGTCACATGTTTGCCTAGAGCCAGGCTCAGACCTTGATCCTCCTACCTGTACTTCCCATATAACTTGGATTGCAGATGCGTATCACCGTGCCCTATTTGTTGACATGTGTCTTGCTAACTTTTTGAATGGGCTAGTATTGATTAATGATCCTCCTGATCTCTACTTCCTGCATAGCTGTGTATAGTGACATGTACTATCACACTCAGTTTAGGAATATCCTATTCTTGATCCTAGGGAGTTTGTAGCCTACTTTAGATTTAATTGTACATGATGTTAAAGTCTTAATTATATCCCTTACCTCTTGTTAGCTCTTGGAGGACAATAACTTAGTTATATGCTTCTCTCAATGCCCTGACTGCACCTTTAGTCTAGCTAGGAGCCCATAGACTAAGTAGAGCAAAAACATGCTCTGAGTTCCTTCTCATTTAAAAAGTCACATTTACAAGGTGAAAGTCGCAGAATACCATTATGCTGTCCTTGGCAATTTCTTTTCTTTCTTTCTTTATCTCTCTCTCTGTCTCTCTCTTTTTTTGTGAGCAGTGTTCCTGAACTTCTTTGCTCAAGGCTAGTAGTACACTACCACTTAAACTACAGCTCCACTTCTTTTTGGTGGTTAATAATAGATAAAGAGTCTCATTGGCTTTCCTGCTTCAAATCATGATCCTCAGTCCCAGTTGCCTGAGTAGCCAAGATTACAGGCATAAGCCACCAGCGTTTCACTGGCATTTTCTTCTACAGAGTCACAGAACTGAAGGTAGGAAACTTGTTAGACTCTCCCACTGATGATATTAATGATAACCCATTCATGATAGGAAACAGATATGTATTACTACAGAAAAGAAAGATACCTGATTAGATGATGTATGATTCCAGAACTTTACACTTCAGTACAGACAAAGGAACTGTGGAAACCTTGTGGATTGCTTGGTCCTTTTTATTTCTTTCTAGTTTAAAAATTGGATATTAAAAACCTGGCACCAGTGTCTCACACTTGTAAATATAGCTGCTCAGATTCAAAGCCACTCTGGGCAGATAAATCCAAATGACCATTATCCCTAATCAACAAAAATCTGGCAGTGGATGTGTGGCTCAGTGGTAGAGCACCAGGCTTAAGTGAAAAGCTAAATAAGAGTTTGAGGCCCCTGATTCAAGTTCTAGAACCAGTACGCACACATACACACACACACTAAATACATAAATAAATAGAAAACATCTTTATACTTGGCAGTTTAGAGAGAATTAATTTCAGTATCTTGTAATTCAAAAGGGGACATTTTGCTTATGCATATTAAACACAGTTCTATGTGCTATTTCATATTTTAAGCAATACTATTGATACTTGAATTTGAGCAGTTGAAAAGTACTTAACCAAAAGAATAAAATACTCCATGAGGAGTCAGACATTCAGGATCAAAATGCATGTTATTTCATGCATTCAGGCTCAGGCCTGTAATCCTAGCTACTTAGGAGGCTGAGATCTGAAGATTGCAGTTCAAAGCCAGCCCAAGCAAGAACCTCTGTGAGACTCTTATCTCCAGTATACCACCAGAAAACCAGAAGTGGCACTGTGGCTCAAGTGGTAGTGCTAGCCTTGAACTGAAGAGCTGAGGGACAGTGCCCAGGCCCAGAGTTCAAGCCTCACAACCAACCAAAATATAATAATAATAAAAGGGCTAGGTACCAGTGGCTCACTCCTGTAATCCTAGCTTCTCAGGAGACTGAGATCTCAGGATTGTAGTTCAAAGCCAACCTTGGCAGGAAAGTCTGTGAGACTCTTATCTCCAGTGAACTTCTAAACAGTTGGAAGTGGCTCAAATGGCAGAATGCTAGCCTTTAGCCAAAAACCTTAGGAATAGCACCAGGCTCAAGCCCCAGGACTGGCACATGCACGTACACACACACACACACACACACACACACACACACACACACACACACACACACACACACACACACACACACACACACACACACACACACACACACTGTCTCTCTCTCTCTTTCTCTCTCCCATACATATATACATGTATGTGTATATATATATATATATATGTATAATTAAAGCTCTTTAGTATATTTGAAAGCAGTAGTGTTAGCACTGGTATGATACTAATGTCCTTTTTTAATAATTTTATCATTGTCTTTAGTGAAGAACTGGTAGCTGAAGCACATACTCTCTGTGCCCAACTAGAAAATGCCATGCAGAACACCGTGAAGGCGCAGGACCAGAGTTTTATGGTAACAGACCCTTGGGATTCCAGCTGTGCTGTCCTTTCTTTCTGCAGAAAAAGAAAAGAAAATGGAAAAGCAATATAGTGTTAAGTTCAGTTTTGTAGATATTATGATTTTAGTGCATTTATAAATATTCATCAGTTACTATATTCTTAAAAGTATATTGTGTGCATTATATTATTAAATCTTTGTGAGACTTAAATCCTGATGAGAAGGCAAAAGCAGTAGTATTCCTGGTAGGCTCTTCCCCACCTGAACTGTGAGTACCATTGCTGAGTGTGTGTTGGGCACTGTGTTGGATGGAGTTGGTTGTGATCCTGTACTTCAAAGACTCAGAGCTTAGCAGTCACTAGAGCAGCACTAGTAACAGGAAAGTGGAGGAAGAAAACCTAGCCAGAGATGGGTATGTAAAAGTAAGTTTAAATTGCTAAGAGGATCCTAAATTGTTCGTTTAAATGTTTAAATGGCATTTTTCTGCAAATAGAATCCTGTGCTAGCTGACCTCCTGACTTCTAACTTTGGTGAAAAGGCAGAGGGCACTACTGCCACTTTCAGTCATCTCTGGTTATGTGTGGGAACTGTCCATTCTCTATTGTTTTCTTTCTGTTACTGTCTGATCATCTCACTGTGTAATCAAACTTACACCATAGGAAGAGGAAGTCTCACCAGAGCATTTCTGCTGAGGTTAGAATCTGTAGTTGATCGATACCACTTGCCTCTTGAGCATGTACAGAAATGCTGTGAGCCACAAGTAGTACAAAAAATGGCTTTCAAGTTTCCCAGTCACAGAATTCCAGGTATTCTGAATCCAACTAATAGAAACACCCTGCATGGTTTTGAGTATGTATTTCACTCTGCTCAAGGGTGCTCCGATGCAATTAAATGGGTTTAAATTGACTTTTCAAGTATGCTGGTTGCTTCCTGCAAAGACAGTCTGAGGTGCGTGGTAGCTGCTGAACTTTTAATATACCTGTTGACTTTCAGAGTCTAGACTGGAGCTGGTTACAGATGGAGGATGAAGAACAGAGTGGCATGGAACAGGCCTTGTGACTGGGGTTGTCCAGTGGCTGCTGTTATGATGGTGTCCCACTGATCCTCACCTAAGTGGAGAGCTCACTCCCCGTGCAGCTGTGATGCTCACCCTGGACCATAGGTGTGGCCCTCAGCAGATGTTGCTAGTCCTTATCCACCCTTGGCAAGACTCCACTGAGGCCCAGCAGATGCCAGTGCCAGCTGTGAGTCTTCATGGAAATAGCCTCAGCAGCTGAATTCTCTTCTGTGAAAAAAAGTGCTCAGAGTACTGTTTGCCACATAGGCTACTGGATTGATGTCTCACTTGAATGTTTCTGGACAATGTCTGCACAGCACTTGTAGCCAGCCTGTCCTCTCCTGACCTCTTTAGACCTCCAGAGAAGCCTTGATACACCTGTCTTCTCTCACCTAATGGCCATGGTTTCATCTGGATCCATCCTCCTAAATAGACATTTTAATCATAGGTTTGGCATGGCTTCCTCCTCTTGCCCTTTTCTCATTTCACCGCTGCTAAATTGTGTGTTGACTTAGCATGCTGGTAGCCATTTAGCAATGTTTAGATATGTTTTGGTGGTGCCAAGCTCCCCAGTGACTCTAGTCCTGTCAACCACAGAGTGACTCCCCAAAGCCAGAGTGGAATAGAAGCTACTTATATTTGAGATCCAAAGATTACCTGGAAGTCATATATCATGGAGGGAAAAAAAGCCAGAAAATGTGTCTATCAACTTCTGACCTCCTGACCACTTTAAGCAGAGTAATCCCTGTCAAATACGTACGTACGTGTGTGTGTGTGTGTGTGTGTGTGTGTGTGTGTGTGTGTGTGTGTGTGTGTGTGTGTGTGTGTGTGTGTGTGTGTGTGTGTGTGTGTGTGTAGGATGGGGTATTCCTGCCTTTCCTGTCAGCTAACAGTATTATTAAATCAATTTATCTTACAAATAGTTTCTATGTTTTGTAACGTGACATGAACATGTATTCTGGGTTCCATAGTCTATTTCTACAATAGCCAATATAATGGAAGACTTTGCAAAATTGAATAGTGCCTGGATGACTATAATTACTTCCAACATTCTACAAAACTTTAAATACATGTATAAGCATATATGTTTATATATTATAGGATACACACATAGGTAACAAAAAAGCTCAAGTAGGGAGTTTTATAGATGAAATCTGATCTGAAGCCAACAAATTTCAGAGTGGCTGCCATGGAGATGACATGAGGCATCAAGTAAGTTTTGGAAATGTTTCATGTTTTAATTGCTTCTTAGATATTTACACTGTATACACTGAAAAGCTTTATATTAAAAAAAACTGGCCTAACTTTATATAAATTCTTAAGTCACTGTACAGATCCAATGTCATTTTACCATATAACTCTTCCATGCTTTATGAGAAAGAATGGTTTTAGAATCCCTGGAGTGGACACAAGTGGAAACAAGACCTTAAAGACTGGGGTGGGGTCAGATTGGGGAAGGAGTGAATGCTGGACTGAGAGGGCTGTGAACTTCTGTTACAGTCATTTGAGAATCCGCAGGAGAGTTTTGAGTAAGAAAATGACATTACCAAACAGCTTAGAAGATTGTGCTGAATTATTCTAATTGATTGGCAAAGTGAAAAGTCAAGAATTGGAGCTCTGAGCTGGGCGCCTGTGGCTCACATCTAACCCTAGCTACTCAGGAGGCTGAAATCTGAGGATCGTGGTTCAAAGCCAGCCCGGGCAGGAAAGTCCATGAGACTCTTATCTCCAGTAAACCACTAGAAAGCCAGAAGTGGCACTGTGGCTCAAGCAGTAGAGCACTCGCCTTGAGCTGAAGAGCACAAGGACAGCACCTAAGCCCAGAGTTCAAGCCCCACGACCAACCAAAAAGAAAAAAAAAAAGAATTGGGGCTCCTTCTTCTTAATATAAATAAATAGAGTTAAAATAATTGGAATTGGGAGCCGGGCACTGATGGCTCATGCCTGTAATCCTACCTATTCAGGAGGCTGAGATCTGATGATTGAGGTTTGAAGCAGCCCAGGCAGGAAAGTCTGTTAGCCTCTTAATCTTCAGCGAATCACAAGAAAAGCTGGAAGTTGAGCTGTGGCTAGCCTTGAGAGAAAAAAACTCAGGGACAGTGCCTGGGGATAAGCCCCTTGACAGCGCACGCGTGCCTGCACACACACACATATGTACATACATGACTGTATGTACAGTCATGCCTGCACACACATGCATACACGCACAATTTTTGGAAATGGGTCTTTCATGACTCATGTTTTCTGCCTGGGGAGCAGGAAATGTTTCTGTTTCTACTTTAACCCTGATATACTAAAATAAATCCTTTCTAAAATTTGCCTCTTGTGAGACTCTTTTTCTTTTTCCCCAATGAGAATTCCTGAAATGCTTTTCCTAAGTAGTTCTGAAAACTGAGAAGCTTTGGGAACCCCTCGTTCTCATGTGACAGAAATAGGTTAGTATATGCCAGAAGTTGAATTGTATAAGGTATAGAAAGAAAGCATTTGGCTTCAGAATGTTTTTGTCTCTAAATATCTGTTTTTAAAAAAGTGGGATGCTGGTGGTGGGTCACATCTGTAGTCCTAGCTACCCAGAAGGTTGAGATCTGATTATTGAAGTTTGAATCCAGCTCTGGCAGATAAATCCATGAGGTTCTATCTCCAAATAACCAGCAAAAAAGCTGGGTTGGAGACATGGATCCAGTGGTAGAGTACCAGCTGTTAACAAAAAAGCCAAGCAAGAATACGAGGCTCTGAGTTCAAGCCCTAGTGCTGGTGTATGTGTATGCATACACATGCACACACAAAGTTCTTTTGGAAGTAGAGATGTGGCTCAAGTGGTAGAGCAGGCCAGCCTTAAGTTCAAGCCCCAGTGCTGTTAAAAAGTTACTACAGTTTAAAGGTTCTAGTCTATGGTCTTACTGGCTCAATTGCTTTGGGTCAGTGGTGAAGCGGCACGTATTGGAAGAAGTGTGGGTAGAGCAAAACTACTTTCTTCATGGCTGGGCTACAAGGAGAGGAAGAGGAAGTGACTGTGGTTTTAAAATTCCCTCTCAAAAACACTCTCCCAGTGACCTAAAGACCTCCCACTAACCCTCTTCCCCCAATTTCCACTACCTCCAAAGTGCCTCCTTGGAGACCAGGCTCCCAACACTTTTAAATTCTAAAGTGTAGCATTGATCTGTGGGTCTCTTGTCTACCAAGATCCACCTATTGTTTTCCTTTCTGTGCTCTCTGGCCATAGTTTCTTAGTCTCCCTTCTTCTACAATGCTTTCTACTATCCTTCCTAACAAAGACTTACCTTGTATAGTACTGCTACAGAGATTCCACTAAAAGAAAATTGGAGAATGTCACTAGTCTACTTAAAACTTCCTACTAACTCTGACCCAGAACTAAAAGTGCAGTTTCCATAGCCAGGCATACATTTGTGCTTACTTTGACTTATAACCCCATATTCTAATTACTTCAGGGAAGTGTTGATTTCCTGTGTTCAACCTGCCTTTTCCTTATAGAAAGTTTTCATCTCTTACCTAATATCTTATATAACCCTTGCTTATCCTCACTGATACCACTTCCTGTTTTTCTGACTAGTTCCACATCATCAACCTGATCTGTATGAACTAGCTAGATTTATTGGAGTTCTTTTTTTTTTTTCCAACCTAAACTAGTCTCACTCTCAGGGACTTAATGCTGCTTCAGAGTTGTAAATGCCACATATATAATGATAATTTCACATTTACACCTCTACTTCAGAACTGCTCCCTAACCCCAGAATTATATACCCAATGGTTTCTATTACCAATTGGATATAATAGGTATCACACGTTCGAAAAGTAAATTAATGACTTTTCCCCTATTCTTTTCAGTCTTCCCAGCTTCACACCTGGTAGCATCATTCTGGTGCCTCAACTAAACACTCATAGACTCAGCTCTGACTTCTTTTCTCATACTCCCCATCCAAATCATCAGTGAGTCTTGTTGGTTCAGCCTCAGAAACAATCTACCCCGGCCCTAGCCATCACTATCTGTCCTCTGTATTATTGCAATAACCTCCTTGCTTGTCTCCACACTTGTGCTGTTGTTATTGCTTCCCTATATCAGCCAGATAATTGCCTTGAAAATTAGGTTGAATCAAGTCACCTGCTCAAAACCTCCTTCCCTCACTAGGAGTAAAAGTCAAGGATGGAACAGTGGGCTACTCTCAGGCACCACATCTCTGCCACATTTCTGTCACATGGCTGCATATGTCTGACATTTTATGCCAGTCTCTCCTTGCTCACTCTTCAATGCTCATGCTGCCTTCCCTGATAATCCTCAAATCAAGAACAGTTGTTCCTAGCTAACTTGTCCCAACTTTCAAATTCAGAATTACCAAGTTTCAGCCTTGCAGTCTGCCCTCACTTCTGCCTTGATCACTCTCCCCTAGACATTCTCATGGTCCCTTCCTTGCTCACATCTTTTTGCACAGAAACCTCAGCAGAGAGTTCCTGTCTGGGCAGCAACTTTGATCTAGAACTCAGCCTCTACACCACCTCCCAGGAGCTTTCCTATGACTATTACACTTGATTTTGCAGTGCTGAGGATGAGACTAGGGCTTTGCACCTGCTGAGGATGCATTTTACTCCTGGGCTACCCCAACACATCCTTGACTTTTTTTCTTTTTAATGCAGTATTGCGGCTTAAACTTGAACCCCTCCTACACTTCAGGTTTTTTGCTGGTAGAAGAAGCTCTTAGATTTTTTGATTTGTCTGCATGTGCTGGCTTAGAATTGTGATATTCAGCTCTCATCCTGATAAGTAGGATTACTGGCATGAGCCACTGGTGCCCATTTCCCTTGTTTTTATGTCACTATGCCCATCTGCCATACCAATTACCCACAAGTACCTAACACTATCTTCCTTAAAGGGTGTAGATGTTTTAAACCCTGAAGCAGGAGAGTAGGGACTTTCAACTCTGCCACTTATCTTAAGGAGATAAGTACGTTTATTTGACTAGAATGGATGAAAAGAGAAGATTGAGTTCCTATTGGGCTGGGAAGGTGGCTCAGTGGTAGAGCGCTTGCCTTGCATGCATGAGGCCCTGGGTTCGATTCCTTAGCACCACATAAACAGAAGGGGGAAAAAAGCCGGAAGTAGCACTGTGGCTCAAGTTGTAGAATGCCAGCCTTGAACTGAAGAGCTGAGGGACAGTGCCCAGGCCCAGAGGTCAGGCCCCACAACTGGCAAAAAAAAAAAAAAAAAAGTTCCTATTT